GCTTCTAAGATCAGACAAAACTGGTCATATGCAGGGTGGTATTGGCCTTGAACTCTCAATTCTCTTGACCCAGCCTCCTGACTGCTAGGATTACAGGTGTATACTACCATGCCCAGCTTGACGTTTCTGTGGGTCAGGAGGCAGAGCTTAATTGATTTCTGTGTTGCAGGGTCTCTCGCAGGCCACAAGGAAGAAGTGAGTCAGGGTTAGTGTCTCATCTGAAGATTTGACTGGGGTAGGATCCATTTGTAGATAACATGGTTGTCAGCAGGACCTAGTTCCTGAAGGGCTGCTGACTGACAGCCTCAGTTCCTAGCTGGTTTTTGGCCAGAGGTGACTCTCAATGCTTTCCATGTAGATGTCTCCAACATGATAACTTGTTTCATTAAAGAGTGGAAGCCAAGCAGTTCAAGGAAGGCAAGGAGGAGACTTACTAACAAGATGGAAGTCTTGACCTTCTGCTGTATATCAGGTCCTGTATTAAGCATCTTGCATGAATTAATTATCTCATGTAATTCTCACAAGTCATGTACATAGGTATTGTCCATTATACAGAAAACATGAACTTCAGAGATTAAATAACTGGTTCAAGGTCAAATATGTACAATAGAGCCAGGGTTCAAAGTCAGGTCTGCCAAATTTCAAAGCTTCTAACCACCACAACTTGTCATTGTCCCTGAGCACTCAAATGTCTTCTACTTGCTCCATTCTTTCTAGTTACTTGGTCACCCCCTCAAGAACAAACCTCCAACTCTTAATATGCCTTCCTACTCCAGGACTCTCCCTTCTAATCCTACTGTCTACTCTCTTTGTCTTGATTTGTCCATATTTATCACGTCAATCTCTGGTTCAAAAATTATCATAATCTCCCTTTTTATCATGCAATCATAGAAAGTTAGAGCTGGAGGTGTTGCCAGGTTCTAGCTCAAAAGTGTCTTGCCATCTCCCTCTCTCCTGCCAAAGAGTCATGGAATGTTAGAGCTGGGAGGGAAAATGGCTTTTTATTTTATGTAACTTCTTTCTGAAGTGAGTTCTTTCTAAATTATTGGGTGGAGATGTTGAGAGGGGAAGTTACCTGGTTTTCAATATCTGTACTTATAATAAAGTTATAGCCGTTGAGATGGTGTTAGAAGGTCTAAGGCTTCATGAAATAAGAAGAGAATTGGGAACATCTGGAGTGGTTTTAGGGAAGAATAGCTCCTGAACAGCATAATTCTCTCCACATGGATGAAAGTGGGCCAATTTGGCTCACTCCCACTCTTTGGCTGGGAGTGGAGGCAGTTAGATGAAACTAGAATGGAAAAAAAAAAAAAAACGTGAAGGCTATTGAGCTGGAGAGATAGATTCCCTGGGGTTCTTTTTATTGATCGATATTTTGTGTATGCTTAAAATTTCTATGATGATGATGATGAAAGTGTGACTAGGCATAGAGGAAGAAGAGTATAGTCTAGTCTTTTGTTAACTTAGCTGTGAGGGGAAGGAGTGTGGTCAGGCAACAAAAGGGAGACCACAGGGATTTAAAAAGGATTTGTTTGTTTAAAAGATGAAACAGATTTGAGCATGTTTGTTGAGTGTTTATACCATCAAAGAGTGTATCAGTTAGTTACTGCCACAAAATTGCTATATAACAAACCACCCTACAGCTCAAGAGTTTACAGTCTTTTATCATTTATAGTTCTGTGGACTGGCCGACCCATGCTAGGCTCAACTGGGATGGGTCAACTTTGCTCCTCATGTCTCTTCTTCCTGGGACAGGATAATGCAGAAATATCACCTCCGTGGCAATGGCAGAGGCACAGGAAATCACAGACAAGTCTCTTGAGGCCTAGGCTTAGACCTTACACACTGCTGCTTCTATCTTATAGGGCCAATGCAGTCACAAAGCTGGGCCCCCTTTATGGAGGGAACAAAGTCACACGGCGAAGCAGCTAGTAAGTGAAATTGCTAGCTAGGACAGGCTACATTAACCCTTAGGCTTCACTCTCATGATCCATGGTCTATCCTCTCCAGAATGAAGTCTGGGCCAGGGGAAAAGCTTGAATCCTAGCTGAGCCTCAAATTGTCTTTCAGGGGTCCTTATCCATAGTCAGTTAAAGGAACAGATTATGTGAGGTCCAGGCTGCTTGGGTGAAGCCAGAGCCTTTGGAAAACCAGCCACAGGGGAGGAAACTCAGAGTCTTATAGAAGCTGATCTGCAGAGAAGAGTGGAGAGACAGGCAGGGGAGAGGACTATGCCTGGGAGGGCCTGAAGCCTGGGTAGGAACAGAAAGAAGCAGGAGGGAAAGGAGTAGGGGAGCAAGTTGAGAGAGCCAGCAAGGCACACACATACAGGTACACAGGACACTAATGCCTGGGGGGCAAAGGAGAAGTGAGACTGAGGAGGAGAGCAGATCATAATAGTGACAGACTGAGAAAAGGGCTGTCTGCAGACAACTCTCTATCCCAACGCCTTTCTGCAGTTGGTTTAGTGAGAGCCCCTTGATCTTTCCACTAAATCCCTTCTCATTGGATAAGTTTGAGTGGGGTTATGTTCCTTGCATACCAAAGATTCCTCAATGAAGATAATCACATAAAACCTTTACAATTTCATTATTCAACTAACAAATAAGGTCAGCCTTTCATATACATGTCACCTTGCTAAAGATGACTCGAAAATCTTCCAGTTTCTACCCTTACAGAGATCAAGTTGAACTCGGGGTGGGGGGGGGAAGAGGAAATAATATGTCTGAATGGTTAAAAATAGCCCAACACACTTGAGGACCATCTACGCAGTGCTACACAAAGTAAGGCTTGCAAAACCCCAAGGGCAGGCAAGGGTGGGGCTGCAGTGGTCAGGTGTTGCTTATCTCTAGGATGATGCACTTGATCTGGGCTTGGAGGAGATCTGAGCCTGGAGACCCCATTTCTCACCTGAGCCGGAATAATAGTTTTGAGGAATAAAAATGCTTTGTAAATCCTAGTCTTGCAAAGTTAAATCTGTAAAGTCTCGGGTGTTTTAGGGAGAAGACACTGGCCACCCATGCAGGAGAGATTGAAGGCAGGAGAACCTGCTGAGAGGGAGAATGGACAGGGAAGGTGCAGAAGCCAGCGAGGGGAGGGCAAAGGAAAAATCAAATGACACTGTGCATGCTTTCAACCCTGAATCAGAGACACTTTTCACTGGTGTGGGTGGGGATCCAGGTATCATCATTTTCAAATGCTCCCAAGGGACTCTGATGTGCAGCCAAGCTTGAGAACCACTGTTCTAAGTTTTCATGGCTGGGGACTGTTGGTGGTGGTAAAAAGGGCAGAAGGTGATGTGGCTAGACAGGGATAGTGAGACTATTGACTTCTAACAATTTTTGGGTTTGAGGTGACCCCTGGATATTCAAGTTTTTTAAAATCCACTTTAGAAACACGGGGTGTTGGAAAGACCCACTGGAGAATAAAATGCAGAGAGAAAAGAGGTGGGGTCACAGATCAGTTCACGGGAAAGAGAAACAACAATAATAGTAAGGCCAATATATGTCGAGTGCATGGTATGGGTGTAGATTCTACTAGCTGCTTTGCTTACATGGACAGTTGTTGGGAGAACTGGAGGTTGATGGTACATGTGGCCAGCTAGTATAGGAGAGTGACACATAAATGAAACAAGTTAATATCTAATTCTAAAAATTGTTAGAATTCTAAAAATTGTTAGCCACCCAATAGGTGGCTACTAACAATTCCAGTAAAAGAGTAACAAAAGAAATTCAAAGAACCTTATCCAAAGTCCAATAGTTAATTTAGAGTTAGAATCCAAGTCAGGTACTGAAGAGTAAGCAGGTGCTCTCCTGTCATAGCTGAGCAGAAGCACATGGGTAAAAAGCCAAGAAGGTGGAAAAACTAAGGAGACAGGAAAAGTCAAGGACGCAGCAGGAGAGCCATAGCTGTGCAGTATGGGCTCAGGCAACCAAGAGAAAGGAGGGTCTCAGAGTCACCATGTGCCTAGACCATGTTTATGAAGCAGTAGGAGGAGAAAGCCAGAGCCAGAACAAGGGAAACCTGGTCTAGCTTCCGGAGCTGCAGATGGAATATGCATAGATAAATCCCTTGGGGAGGGGCTGGAGTGGCAAATAAGCAATAAGTGGACCCCCATCACAAACACCCTCTCTTTGCACTGTTTTCATGAGCTCTCTCAGACAGGTGTCACTATCATCTTTCCTATTTTAAAGATGAGGAGACTGAGGCTAGGAGTGAGTATAAAGTGAGGATTCCATTTCAGGATTAAGTCCCAGCTTGTTTGCCAAACTGTACTTCTGTGCAGAGAACTGTTCATCAGCTTCAGACAGTTGCTAACTTAATAATGTGGAACGTTGTAGAATATGAGAAATAGCTCACCCCTGGAACATCGTGTTCCACGTGTTCCATCTTCCTGTAAATCTCTCAACAGTGCCTCTCCAAATGTAATATGCATCGAATCACCTGGAGTCTCTGATTCAAGTAACTCTAGTGATGTGGATGGTCCATAGCCCACCTTGAGCAGCAAAGCTTTCCTGCACATTGGAATCATCAGGAGAGTTTTCAAAAATACGGATGCCTGTTTCCGACATCCAGAAATTGTGGTTTAATTGATCCTGGTATGCCCGGGCTTTGGAATTTTGAAAAGATCTCCAAGAGATTGTAAGGAGCACGAGAGTTCAGGGTTTTTTTTTTTTTTCTGGAGTTTGCAGTAGGAAGATGCAGCCAGCATGCAAGAAAACAAATCCACAAGGAGGGCGAACTGACGGGCTAGTTTAAATTATGCAAGGCAACTACTTTCTAGAGGGTGGTGGAGGATAAGGAAACAAGTCGGATTTAAAGACTATTCTGGATATTACGTTGACTTGGACCCTTTCGCAGTCGCTGGGGCCTCGGGACTCCAGTCGCCTCACCCTGGGCGGAAGGGGCTCGTTGCCGCCGAGCCTTCCAGCGCATGCGCGGTAGGGCACGCCTGCGGGCCTTTCAGAGCATGCGCAGCCACGGCGTAGGGGTGGGACCTGATGCCGGCGCGGCCGCGCTCCCGGAAGTGCGCGGAGAGTGTGCCAGGGACGGCAAGTGGCTCGGCACGTGATTGCACACCAGGCAGGTGGCTTGAAGGCTCAGGCGCCCTGGAGCCGCCGGGCTCGGTGGCGGAGACTGTGTCGTCCTTGACCATCGCGGACACGTTCATTGCGGCCGGCCAGAGCCCCGCCCCGCCCCCGCCTCCCCCCCAGTTGCCTAGAAGGTTCATCTGCTCCTTCCCCGACTGCAGCGCCCATTACAACAAGGCCTGGAAGCTAGACGCGCACTTGTGCAAGCACACGGGGGAGGTAACGGGCCGTGGAGGGGCGTGGCGCCCGCCCGGGACTGGGGAGGGCGGTGGCCGCCCGCTGCCTCTGCCGGAGTGGCCTGGGGCAGGCTGCTTGGAGCCGGGTGTGCAGGGCCCGTTTAGCCAGACGTGTTCCGCCGTGGAGTCCCGGCCTTGGCTTAGGGATGGAGCTGAGAAGTGGGCAAGAAGTTATAGGACCTCTGTTGTAGGACCGCGATATTCTTGTCATGGGTTCAGGGCTTCCTAAACAACTTTCTCTTCTTTGGTCTTAATCCCTGTCAAACACCTCCCGATAATCTGTGCATCTGTACACGCGCTGAAAGTCAGACACCCCCTCTAAGCACCCGCCTCCTGCAGCTGGCACAGAGGGTAACACAGTGCCGGGGCTGTGCTAGAAGCACGTGTTCTTTCCTAACTCATTACGAGGGAGCTGAGAACACCACAGCCAGGCTTCTGCTGCCGCAGACCAAGGACTAGATAGGAAGAAGCAGAAAAGTAGAGCCAAGACAGGACCAGGAACCAGTGGGAAGGAAGGATCTAGCCGCGCAAATAGGCAGAGAACTGTGAAGGGAGCCAGTGGCCTTTGGGATGGGAAGGCAGCAGGTGGGATTAGGTGAGGAGATGGGACTAGGTGAGGCCTGAGTGGAAGGCCCGCTGGGATCATCTACGGACCAGGATAAGCGTTTGGATTTTATTTTGAGGGCAGTGGAGGCCTTGGGGGATGGCAGATAAGGTGATGTGATGTAGCAGTCTGTTGCAGGTGAGGAAAACAAGACTCAACTGGCCAAGGAATCTGTTGAAAACAGTTTCCCAGTTTTCTAGAAGGCTCATAATTTCTTAAGCCAGGGCCTGCGTCACTGCCCTTGCTCCTTATGTTTACCCTAACTTAAGTGTCACCTTCTCCGTGTGTGTTCTTGATCTCCATCCTCACTCTCTCCAGCATTTGGAGGCTGGCATTCCTTTCCTTGGGCCCTCTCCTCTAGCTCTTTTGCGCTTCCTTTTGGTGTTTTTCCCCCAGCTCCTCTTCTGTTCTCATGCTTATGCACCCATCAGTCCTACTCTTTCACTGCCTTCACTCCTAACATCCTGTGTGCCCTACCTCCCTGTTCTTCCTCTCGCCCATTCTGTCCCTCCACATTCCAGGCTCTGTTACCAGTATGTTCAAAGTAGAGCTCACCTTCGTTTTTAGAACTGCACTACTGTATTTGGATATTGGCACTGGCATCTTCTTCCTACAGGTTGGAAAACTTAGAGTCATCTTTGTTGTCCCAGACCTCACACAGTGGTTAACTTGACAACTGTTATCGCCGTGACTGGCAGTGAGAAGGTTCTGTGGCTCTGCCCCTGGTTATACAGCTCACCTGTGTCTTCTTGTCCACTGGCTTCCTTCCAAGCACTCTGACTGGGGTGTTGGTTCTGACCTCTTGTGTGTCATGGGGAAATGCCTTCCAGATGGATACACCAAACTGGTGTTTTGGGGCATGTTATGGCTTTCTCTAAAGATTCAGGATGGAATCTGGCCTTCCACCTCCTGGACCGGAATGGAGGGTGCAGTTAAGAGTTGTGAGTTGCTTTCTTTGCTTTTCCCTGACACCCTGTCATTTCAGATATGACACATTTTCCTGTAGCTGTGCCTGACATTTTCTTAGCACAAATACTGGACTTGTCCAGATGCAGCAGAACCTGCTCCTTCCTCTGCCCTAGGCTGCCTTTGGACTGTGAAACCGTGCTGTGGTGGGGATGTGTGCAGACAGGCTGGGCTCATGCCAAAGTGATCTTGAAGCGGGGCTTACTGGGGAAGCCTGCAGCTATTAGGAGCAGATTAGCAATGCTGTTCCTGAGAAGGCTGCCTGCTTATTTCAGATGTTATGCTTGGGCCAAAATTTTGCTACAGTGACTTTGTGTGTTGTGACATTTATATTGTGTAAGTTCATGTAGGAAAACTGGATCTTGCCTAGGTATAGCAGGTACTTAACTTCCTGAGTGGAAATTGTTTCTGGAGAGGGGGGTTATGGTTTTGCCTGTTAGACATTATAGGCTTTTAAGTAATACCAGAGTTACTAACTCTCCAGGTCAGGACTGACATGTTTTTTCTTTTCTTCCTGCTAGAGGCCGTTTGCTTGTGACTATGAAGGCTGTGGCAAGGCCTTCGTCAGGGACTACCATCTGAGTCGCCATGTCCTGATTCACACTGGGGAAAAGCCGTTTGTGTGAGTAGAGGACTGACTCTAGGTCTTTGGAGGGGTTGTGTTTGGCGTATAGACCTGGTGAGGTGAGTGCTAAGTCACAGGATCGAGGATGTGAAGCTGCTTGCATCATAAAGAAGGGGTTTTCAATGTGAAAAGAGAGAAGGGGTTCTGTGGGTCATTTGTGTAATAAATTTGGGACTCAGTTATTGTGAAGTTCTCTGGAGTATATACTTCCCTTTCCCTTTAAAATACATAGTAAATGAGAAGCTGGACGTGGTGGTGCACCTGTAATCCCAGCACCCGGGAGGCTGAGGCAGGAGGATCATAAGTTTGAGGCTACTCTAACAATAGACTCTGTCTCACCCAATAATAACACATGAAAATAAAATAGAAATACATAGAAAGTAAGTGAGAAACATACTAGATGGAAAGCAGTTCCCTGGAAAATGCCTGCCTCCGTTTTGTCAGGAATTATATGAACTGCCCAGCCTTTATAAGCAATATGAGCATGAAGAGACAGAACTTTTAGTAATTTAGCCCTTATTTCCTAAAACTAAGCCTCACACCTCCATTGTAAGAGTTTTAATTTCATTCTCATAGGAGTTGCTGGCTATTTCTGAAAGGTGGAGCTACTGCCTTCCTATCTGCTACTAAAAAGCAGTGGATTTCAAACTTAGGGTGCCACGGAATCACCCAAAGAGCCTGTTAGACACAAGCTTCAGAGGGTGTGGGTGGGAGCTCAGTAGTAGAGCATGTTCTTAGCATGAGTGAGGCTTTGGTTTTGATCTCCAGATCTGACCCAGCCGAGAGTTTTACTCAGTAGATGTGTGGTGGGGCCTGAGAACCAGCATTTCTACCAGGTTCCCAGGTGATGCTGTTGGTCTGGCTTTGAGAACCACTAAATAATAAAAGTTTTCCCCGAGGAAACAGACCTAATAGCTGTCCAGAGCTATATGTAGGACACTAACAGGAAACAGTTGTGTAGCAGGATTTCACATGTTAAGATTTAATATTGTAATCTTCTATGAGATAATTCTTTGGTCAGCAATGTTTCTGGTGAATGTGAAATGTCTCATGTCTCATAAGGTCCTGAGAAAGGTGAGTTCTTGATACAGATCAGACTTCACTGTCATTTTCCACTGGGGAGCTATCCGCTCTGTGGAGGACGAATCAGTCAGGCCTATCCTACCAGCACACTAGTGAGCAGGAATGGGGTGAATAACTGAAGGTGGCTGTTTCAGTCCCTGTTCAAGTACACAGTACTTGTCAAAATCAATGACCCTATGTGACACTTATTTTTTATTTTGGAATATAGTCTACCTAGACCTGCAAAGAGTAACCAAAATAGCTTGCAAAGTCACATTGAGATGTGGTTTTTGACCTGGAGGTTTCACTTTGGGAACTCACGGGTACACAGCAAAAATAAGTACAGGTCTGTGTACACTGTTACTAGTAGCAAAATGTTAGACTCAACCCAAATGCTCATCAGTAAGGACAGGTTAAACTATATGGACAAAACAGAACACTATACAGCTACAAAAACAAATGCAGATGGTCTCTATAAGATCATAAGAAAAACCACCATGCAGCTGGAGGCATGGGTCAAGCAGGACAGCACCTGCCTAGCAAGCATGAAGCCGTGAGTTTAAACCCCAGCATTGCCAAAATTACAAAAAAAAAAAAAAAAAAAAAAGTAAAAAATCCCACCATGCAGAAGGTCTTCTGAACAGGGCTGCCTTTCTGTATAAAATAGCAGGGAAGAAACCGTATCTGTGTTTGCTCTTGTTTGTATACCTAAAAGTTACATAACCGAGCTAGACATGTTTCATCTGCCTTGAGGTGGAGGGTGCTGGTTGGGTGGGAGCTGGGATGGGAGGAAACACCGTGCAGCTTGATCCTTTTTATGCTTGTTGAGTTCTGAATGAAGTGACTGTACTGTACTAAACCTTAAAGGGAAAACAGGGCTGGATCCAGATGCACAGGACGACATGGATCCGTGAGGGTCATTGCCGCTGGAACACTCGGTGGTGGTCTCTTCCAGCTTGCTCCAGCTTAGCCCTCCCTCTTTAGCTCCAGGTCACTGGCTCGCTGGTCAGTGTGACTTGGTTCTCTGGGTTTTCTCTAATTGCACATAACCAAATTTATTCACAGTTCAAACTGTGCTCCCCTCTCTTTGATCTTCTGCTCCCTTGTCCTGTCTGGGTAAGTGGTATTGTGGTCTGTGCAGGGACCCACATAAAGGTAAGGCAACTCCCTCATTCTTCTCTCCCGTTCCCTGTTGTGCAGAGGTCATCAGGTTCTTATTTTACCCCTCGAATCCTCCACAGCTGTCCTATTACAGGCCATCAGTCCTCACTCAGTGCCTGGACAGTTGTCTCTGCCTGACTGGCCTTTTCTTGTATCATGCATAGGTGGTTTCTCTTAAAACTGGTGGTTTTGAGCTTTGCTACATGAAGGTTCCTAGTGTGTCATGCAGTAGCCTGTGTGATTTGGCCTTTTTCTGCTTCTCTTGCCCCATGTGCTTGACTCAGACAGAAGGTGTGGTCCAGCCATGGTTACCTAATACCACCCTCACCCTAATTTGCCAGGATCCTTTTGCCTTTGCACCTGCTGTTTGGTTCCTGTCAGTACTTCCTCACCCTGTTCTCCTGCCCCATACTTGTGTTGAGTTAGATGCCTTCATCAGGTTTAGAGTTAAGAATGACAGGAAACAGCACAAGAGGCTTAAACAAAACAGGCTCTTTTTAGTCCTGTATAGCTGAAATGCACAAGTCAGAAGTGTAAGGGCTGGGCTGCTCCAAGCTCTTCAGTGACCTGGGCTCCTCCTGTATGGTCTCTGCCATGCTCAGCTTGGGGCTTCAACATTAGTTTCCAGGCTGCCTGCTGTAGCCCAGACAGTTGCATCAGCATTCCTGTTGGCAAGGAGGGGTAAGAAGCCTGCTATCTTCTTTTAGGTGGCCGCTGTGGGAGCTGTGCAGAATACACTGGACTTATCCACATGGCCACCTGTCCGGCCAACACTAGTACTCTATCCCTGCGGTCAGGGCTTCTGGTGGTCTCTGCCACAGTATCCCTCCCATGTGTTCCCATGGGCCTTGGTCTGCACCTCCCACTGTCGCTAACTGCTGGTCTCTCGCTTCCCTCACCTACCCTGGGGTGCACAGTGCCTGATTAGGTTGCTCAGCATCACCAGTGAACAGTAACTGAGACTGAAACTTGGAAAGGAAGTCCTGCTTCATCACTCAGGCTTATGAGAAGGTTCTTCACAAAGGATTTCGGTCATTCAAGGCCAAGATGGCAACACAAGGAGAACTACAATGACTTGGTGATATGCCAAGGGCATAATAGTTTATGGTTCTGCTCCACGTGTCTGTTTTACCTCTAATGACAGGCTGAAACCAGTTTCTTGAGATCTTTTTTCAAATGCAGTTTATAGTAACATTTCATGCAAAATTAAGATATTAGACTCTAAACTGAGACTAATTGAACTTAAGTGTGATTGGAGCCTGAGCAGGGGTTAGCCGTTGGGACTGGTGCTTTTCACTGTTCCTTTTGCCAGTGTATAGAGGATGTCTGATGCAGCGTTTAATGTCAGAGATTGAAGATGAAGAAGCATCTTGTTATATGATAGTCAAATCAACGTTGAGAGGTGTATATGGTATGGCTTAACATTTTGGCATTGTGGATCGAACCCAGGGCTTTGCACATGCTAAGCACATGCTTTTCCACCCCCAGTTCACTTTGACTTTACTAAAAATTCTTTTAGGGCTGGAGGCGTGGCTCAAGTAGTAGGGCACCTCTCTAGCACATGCAAAGCCCTGACTGAGTTCAAACCCTAGTACTGCCCAAAAAACCAAACACACAAAAAACTATTGTATACTATTCTTTGGAATAATTAGCTTTTATAAACTACTAGGATAAACACATCTTGAAACTTCTCTTCCCTTGGTTTGTTAATATTTTGGCTTATACAATTTCTTACAGATGTACAGCTAGTGGCTGCGATCAGAAATTCAACACAAAGTCAAACTTGAAAAAACACTTTGAACGCAAACATGAAAACCAACAAAAACAGTATGTAGTAAGTAAGATTTTATATTCTTAAATCTTCTAAATATTTTTACATTTACTCCCTACATTTCTAAAATTTTCATCAACCAGATTTTGTTGTCAGATACTGAAATTTAGCCTGGCACTGGCTATCCCAATCAAAGGTTTTATTTCATAAGTAACCATTGTCCTATTAAAGTGCATTATTGGATGACTACCCCAATGGAAGCATTTTTCAATGTTACTGATCTTTAAAACTTCTTGACATTAGATAGAATTTTACAGAGGTGAGTGAGTGAAAGTAGCAATTAATTTTATCTATTTCTATGAACTGTTAATTCTTTGGTTTTCCTCAAGACTAACAGACCTTTTCTAAACAGTGCAGTTTTGAAGGCTGTGAGAAGGCCTTTAAGAAACACCAGCAGCTGAAAGTCCATCAGAGCCAGCATACAAATGAGCCACTGTTCAGGTGGGTGCTTCCCATGGCTGGACATCACTGAAATTCTAGAATTCAGATCAAAATGCAAAGATTGGGAGCAAGGGACCTGACACAGCTTCCTAGCCAAGGCCTTCCCGCTGATGTATGGTGCATGTCCGTTTATGTATTAGGGCATTTGAAAAGTTGCATTTTGTTTTTGTTTCTATAAAGAAAACTTGATGAGTTTCAGAATAATGTGTGAGATTATTGCAGTCGTGCTTAAGCCTGATGGGAAGGCTAAGAACCTATGTACTCAAATAGAACCTATTCAGTTTTATGGTCATTGTGAAGATATGACTTGTTCTTTTCCTATAGACCAAAAGTACTTGGACTCAGCCTGCAGCTAGAGGGTTTGCTGAGGACACAAAAGGGTGGCTGGACATGATGGGATAGAGGTACGCAGGGCCAGGAGGGATCCTCACTGCCTTGTGCTGGTGGCTCCCTATGCAGCTTGATTGGCCAATGCCCTCTCCTGGCTTGCACAGACTGCCCTTGGCCCTGGTGTTTCTGCAGTGGTAGTGCTATCCTTTGTTGGTCTGTGGCTTATCCTTGTGCTGCCAGTGGATTTAGCACTGAAGGGATACATACATTTTTTGAGTGTTTTCTTGGTGAGCTAGGAATCTAGCGTGTGCTTTTCATTGCTTATCTGTGGCTCCTGCATCTGCCACTGTTTCTTATCTGCACAACCCCTGTGCAGCATCTTTAGGCATGCTAGACACAGTTCAGGATGGCTCAAGTGTTTAGCTAAGCCAAGTCAACCTCTTGAAGTACCATTCTGTAGCCATGATAGCAGAGTATATTTTCAGAGATACGAAGATGAAAAGTGTTCACTTTGGTCACATAAACAAAAGAAATACTATGGCTGTTTTGTTTCAAATTGTTTTGCTCCAAAGCTGGTCCAGTAACTTGATTTGGTCTACATTTTTACCTTATTTTTATATAACTGGCTTGGTTATGGGAATGGCGAGTCTTTGGTGGGAGAAATGGGACAGAGTACTGTTTACCCTAACCAGAGTCCTCTGTGGAAATGGATCAGCTAATACTTCATGTGTTGTAATTCAGGTGTACCCAGGAGGGATGCGGGAAGCACTTCACCTCACCCAGCAGGCTGAAACGACATGGGAAGGTCCATGAGGGTATGTATGGACAGTCCTGTGTGTGCCCACACAGTATGCCCGTCAGTAACATGCTGCCGGTAGGTTGTGTTTAATGTTTTGACTACTCCATGCTTTCTAATCTGTTCCATGGTCATGTTGAGGAGGTAGGAGTTATGTTAGGCATATGCTTATTCAGTCTTGTTCTCTTGTCCAAAGAGGCATCACCTATATCTGTTCTACATCATCAATGCTGTTCAAACTTACTGTTGTTCACAAGTGCCTGGTTATGCTATATACTTAGGAATGGGTTTATACTCTAGCCAAGACTTCGCTTCCATACCTGTTCCATTTTCCTGGTTAGCCATTCAGAAAGCTTGGATAATAGTTTGAAGTTTTCAAAGTAGTGAGATTTAACTTAACAACAACAAACGTTTGATTCCATTAGCTACTTGTATCTATTATCTGTTTCCATAAGGAATTTCTGATATCTATACTTCAATTGCCTAGTCCCTAAAATTTGTGATTCTTGTTTTTTCAACAGGAGACCAGTGAGCAAAAATTTGAGGAAACCACATTCTTTTTAGTTCCTAGCGGTTGAAATTCAGCCTGGCTTTTACATTGACTGATTAACCCAATTCTGATGCTTTGCACATGTCCATTTCTGTCAGAGTTGTTCTGTGTTCTCCTCATCTATTTTCTTCTGTAGCTATACCTTACTCTTTTGCAGTATGGAACTAAACTAGAGGTGATGGAGTGTAGGAAGGAGGCACTATAGCTCCTGAGATTTGGTGTTGGTGGTCTGCCAAGGACAAAGAGTCTGGTGACACTCTTCCTAAGGGAAAAAGAGGCAAGCCTAAGAATAGGCAGGGGAAGGGAACATAAACAGGGGGCCAGCGGGGAGCAGCTGGAGTCCATACATGCTGGACAAGGAGAGAAAGGCCTCCTTCCTGTGCCCCTTCCTGTGCAGTTGTGTATTTCACTGTAACATAAACCTTTCCTCATTTTTATTCTCACCTCTTGAGTCCAACAGAATAGAATATTATTGGGAGAGAGAAAGATTTTATATATATATATACATACATATATATGTATGTATATATATATATAAAAAGTTCCTATTTTGTACTGCATATTCAGAACAGGCAATGCACCCATCTTTTATTTTTTAAAACAGGCTATATATGTCCAAAGGGATGTTCTTTTGTTGCAAAAACATGGACAGAACTTCTGAAACATGTGAGAGAAACCCATAAAGGTAAGGCAGACATATGAAAGGCATGGTTGAAATATTTGATGATGGTATTTGACTGATGTAAGTGCTTTGAAAGAGTGAAATACACTATATTGTGTTTTGTGATGTGTTGACTCTCTTGACTGGAGAGCAGAACCGTGCTGGTACCGCTGTGCACTTAGCATGCTTAAAGGTTCTGGAAGTCTCCAGTGAACAGTCTTGGGAGGCATTAGTACTTGTGGGACTGCTTGGGACAAGGAAGGACTCTGTATGGACAATATCCCATTTTCCTCACCTGCCCAGTTACCATGCTGAAAAACACTGCTCCTTAACAAGTAGAACAGCCAAGGAGCTTGGAAATGATACAGGAATTTAGGAGGATCAAGACAGACCTCCTAGCAATAAAAAGTAAAGTATCCTTGGAAATTTCTGATTTGTGTGTATTCATAGGTTTTAGTAATTGAATGTGTTATTTATGCTTTGAGATTAATTTTTCCTATATGGTAATAGCTAGGGAAGTCATTTAAACTTTGTCTACTCTACCAGAGGAAATAATATGTGAAGTATGCCAGAAAACATTTAAGCGCAAAGATTACCTTAAGCAACACATGAAAACTCATGCTCCAGAAAGAGATGTCTGTCGGTGTCCAAGAGAAGGCTGTGGTAGGACCTACACAACTATGTTCAATCTCCAGAGCCATATTCTTTCTTTCCACGAGGAAAAGCGCCCTTTTGTATGTGAACATGCTGGCTGTGGCAAAACGTTTGCAATGAAAGTAAGTGCTCCCCTGCCTCATTCAGCCCAGACTGCTTCCACACTGGGCTCCAGGGAAAGTCCTGTGGCCTGCAGGTATGGGAAGACCAGTGAGCAGGTGCCACACTTTGTTTCTGCTGGGGAGGGTCTTCACTCATTACAGAACTTCTAGGTTTGCCAAAGCCAGTGGATCTCAAAGTGTTGCCTGGAGCAGAAGCATCAGCATCAGCTGGAAATTCATTAGAAATACAGATCCTCAAGCCCCACTCTGGCCCAGTTGAGTCAGAAGCCCTGGGGGTAGAGCCCAGGAAGCCTACTATTTTAACAAGTGCTCCAGGGACTTTTGATGTATGCTAAGTGGGAGAGCCATCATCCAGGAACTGGGAAATGGGTAACAACTGAACAACCACAGGACTCTTGGCTCTCATCTAGGTCAGGGTCAGGTGAGAATGTGACACTCAGCAAGGGCTTGTGCAATTTGCAGGCTCATGCTGGTTGGTGTCTTTAAGGCTCTTGCCATGAATTATAATAGAGACTGAGGAGAGAATTGCAGCTGCTCAGCACAGCCCAGACTATTAGGAAACACCTGTGAACTGACATGGGCAGCACTGTCATCATGGTGAGCAGCCTGGAAAGGGTTGTCAAAATCACTAAGCCAAAGACTGAAGGCAGATTCTCTCCTTAGCTCTGGTTGGGGAATTGAGTAGAAGTCAAATATCCAAACAACACATGACAAAAAGAAGGTTTACGATTTATTTAAATGTCTTATGGCATTTTCATGTTAATAGCTACCAAATGTTGAGGTCTTTAAAACAGCATTTCTCTTTTTCCTTCATTGTAGCAAAGTCTCACCAGACATGCCATTGTACATGATCCTGACAAGAAGAAAATGAAACTCAAAGTAAGTCAAAACTTACTCAGGCAAGCTCTTAACTTTAAAACCAACACTATTAACAGCTAGTCCAGTCTATAGAATATTCCCAACTGCTTTGCTGTGCATGTGTCTGCCCCAATGTCGCTGTGCACAACTATTGTAAAACAGATGATTTTGGTTTTGAATTCTACTTGTCTCTCTTCCTTATTCCCAAAGGTAAAACGTTCTCATGAAAAACGGAGTTTGGCATCTCGCCTCAGTGGATACATCCCTCCTAAAATGAAACAGGAGCAAGACTCATCTTTGTCTAACAATGGAGACACACAGCATTGTGTGGAAGATAAAGTGCTCTCCACAGTTGCAATACTTACTCTCCACTAGGAATCACCTGGCCTCTTCTAAGGCTGGAGGTGTGGCTCAAGAGGTAGAGCATCTGCTTTGCAAGTGTGCAGCCCTGAGTTCAAACTCCAGTCCCACCAAAAAAAACAAACAAAAAAACCAGAACTTAAAAAACCTATTTTTCTTTATTAAAATTACTGATGGAGAACATCTGATTCCCTGTCATTTCCATTTTCTTTGTTCAAAGTGTCTCTTTGCTGGGTCTCTTGAGCCTCTCTATGTGTCTTCTCTTCTTTCTTGCTCAGATGACGAAGAACACATGTTAAGGCTGTTCCTCCTTTAATGGCTTGTGGCCTGGTTGAGAAGGTGGCTGTTTCAGGCATTGTCTGGAGTATTTGGTTAAGTATCTCCTCCTAAAAAGGAAAACAGTCCAAGATTAATTTAAAATCAGCACTTTTGATGTTTTGTAGTGTTGATACTCAAACATGCACAAAATCCAGCATCCTTCAATTGCTGCTATTTAAATGATTTCCTACTAAATTCAAATATCTGGTTAACTGATTGAAATCTGTATAGTAAGTCCATGTAACTAACACAAGAAAAGGCTTGATGTTCCACCACTCTGCCACAGCTACATTTGACGGCAGCCTGCCCTCTCTCAAAAACACAAGCTCTGGATTTGGGCCTTGGCATTATGCCTCTTCTAAAAGTTGCTGCCCAGTACAGTTCCCAACACCTAATTCTCACATAGTTACTTGGGGTGATTTAAAAAAAATAGAGACCTGGGGCTCCAGCAGTTCTGAATCAGCTGGACTGTACTCTCAGCCTAAGTGAGTCTAACACAGCTGCACTGTCATAAAGTTATCAACTTCAGAGGTGGGACAGACAGCCCATAAACTCCCTAGGATTTTAAACTGTAACATTATCTAGAAAACAGTTCAGCTGTTTCTTGTAAGCACTAAGAGACAACCTGCAAAGAAGTTGTTCTTATTTTAAAGGTTAGATACTCTACACTTTGTAAAATAAGTAGTATATAGTTTCCTCATATGGCAAAAGATGTTTAATAAAAAAAATAGTATGCTTGCATTTTGAAAAACTGGAAAGCTGTTAGCATTACTAGGTAGAATTACTTAGTAATTTTCCCAGATTTTCTACAATTATATTTTTACATCAGGAAACAAAATCACAAGTAATTACTCATACCTGCTGTTACTTACCATTTTATTTTCTGGCTCATCTGTGTTTTTTCTTTTCTTTATGGTAATTTGAACTTGATGTTTTTTCTCAATCCACTGTTGAATCTGTTTACTCTTTGTGTCCAAATCATGTTGTCCAATATTTGACGAAAAAGTTACTTCCTTTGTCAGGGTTGGTCCTGGTTAGAGACATTTGGTGGCAGGACTGTTGATTAGTCAACTTGAACTGGCAACATACCTGGTAAGATCTTAAGCTGCCACAGGGGCTTTAAATGGTCCTCATCTGACTTTCAACCTCACTGGCCAGCAAATGCTTTTTTTAAGTGGGAGAGGTAGATATAAGCACACCAACTGCCTACCAAGAAAGGTTATTTAAAATCTGATAAGGTTTTTGTATCACATATAACAGAACTATAATCCAGAAGAATAACCAAGAGAAATAAAGGGCCATGAATAGGCAGTTTACAGAGAAGAAGCTCAACTGGTGGAAGAAAACACATTAACACAATAGCTGATGGTTTCTTAGCATCACAAAAATTACAGCGTGACAGTACCAAGTGTAGGTGACAGTGTAGAGAAAAATTTCATAGAAAATTATGAGAAACGAACAAAATTACATTATTAATACTTTAAGACAACTCATGTCTGAAAAAAAAATTCACATACTGCTGCTGGGAGCAACTTGACCCATTTAGGTTCATGGAACCTAGAGTATGCACAAGTGTTTATAATAATGGAAAGCTGGGTGCCAGCCCAGTGTCATGCACACAGATTAACAAATTTCATATATTCTTATGAGCTGCCATGGTGATTACAATAAATTACATGAGCATGGATCTTGCAAACTGCAGTGTGTCATCTATAACTTTCACACACTACTGTGTATGAATACATCTGTGTGCAATGAGTTTAACACTGGCTCTAACACTAAATCCATGAGAAAGAGCAGTATCACCTCTGGGGAGGGAAGTTCAACTTTTCTGTAATGGTTTGGCTTAAAAATCTGAAAAAACAGCCAGATTTGTTCATTTTGGATGATGGGTATCAAGTGTTTTAATATATTACCTTTTTTCTGTATACTTTTAAGTTTCTGAAATAAAATTTTCAAAATATCTCCCTGCTTCCTCACAACTCCTACCATTTGGGTCTGGGTTTCCATCAGAACAAAGTACTGACTGTAACTCCTCCAAGCTTCTCTACTCCATCACCATTTTTAGAGTGATATTTTGATGTCCTTATCCTCTCTAGTCTGTAAAGTATTTTTTCTTTGTGTGTGTGTGTGTGTGTGTGTGTGTGTGTGTGTGTGTATTTGAACTCAGGGCCTCATGCTTGCTAGGCAGGCACTCTACCACTTGAGCCACTCCACCAGCCCCTCTGGTTTGGCCCTTCTAAATACTTATGTGGCATTATAAAACAGAGCTACAGATAACATGTTCTTTCCTCAAGGCACACAGCCTCATGATGGCTGCACTGAGACCAATCTCTCACCCTTGTTCCAGTGCACATCCCACCAAGCAATCTTCCATAATGGTGAACGTTTTCTGAGAACCATGAAAAGCAAGCACATCTTCACTTAATATCCAAGTCATGGCCTTTGTGAGTCTTCACTGATAAGTGTCTGGGAAGGTAACTGGCCAAGTATGCAAGTGAGCCTTATTACCAATACTGTAATAAAGCACTGTGGCATGAAAGATGTTCTGTGAATTCCTACAGAATTTAAAAGGTGCTTGAAAAACCAAAAGGCATAGGATAGGACAATGAAGTGGGTTCCAACTCATTTCCAAATCTCATTTCATTAGTCATCAGCCACTGTGCTTGCCATAGCACTTGAAGCCAAGGCTACAGGATGGGAAAGTTTCCATCGTTTTGGTTTGTTCATGTTGTTTCTCCCTCATTAATGTACTTTTAAAGGAAGACATAGTAGAGACAGGTATCAAGAGAAAGTGAAGGAAAAAAGGAATGAATGTAAGTGAGGGATGAAAAAGGAAACAGGTTCTGGAAAATTGAGCTTTTCCAGTTTTCATTTCCCATTGTCTCAGGTACCTTGGGAAATGCCAGAATTTAAACTAATTTGTAGTCCTAAAGGATCCAGGGAGCAAACAACAAAATAACCTACCAGTTTTTGGTCTGGCCTTTTTGCTGTCTCTGAGCCTGAGCCGTTCCCGATGGATTTGCACTCCTGTCATAAGCTGGTATTCCGCGGGCTCTGAGGTGGCACTCCTCTGCACCAGCCTCAGGCCTCGCTCATCCATGAGTCTGATCGCGTCTGCCCGGTGCATGACTCCCAAGTCACTGCCCTGCTCATCAATCACACGAATGATACGCTCACTAATTTTCCTTCCGATGTTAGTAAAAGTGGTATCATTCTTTTTTTTCTTTTTCTTTTCATCCTGGGTGTCTTCAGCAGGATTAAAACCTTTTGTGTGAATTAGGTAGGTCAGTCTTGGGGCAGAAGCAATCAGGGTCAAATGTACTGGGGTTGTTTTCTGCATGACGTGTTTACTAAAACATCTTCTGATACAATTATTTTCAGTTTTCACAGTTTGTAGCATTAACCTCTTTAGAAGAAAAGCAGCCATCCTAAGAAAGTAATGAAAACATTCATTAAAATTCATTTTTCCCTGTTGTCCAATATCATGGTACATCGGCAGGGCATGTGTAAAGCTGTGAAGACTCATCTGTGAATGCTATGGAAATACTGCTCTCAAGATGACCAGACTCATGTGTGGGAAGCTGACAGCACTGAAAAGGACTTTTGAATGACTGTGACCAAACCAACTCATGGTGATACCATCCCTAGTGCAACTGGTTATAGGAGAAAACCAGCATTGAACAGTGCTCTCGTTTTTTACTTTCTTCCACTCATGATCTCATTTACTATTTTTCCCATGAATCTTATAGTGCCAACTCCAAAAGCAAAGATCATTCTGAGGGTTTTACAAGGATGCAATAAATAAAATGCCTACTGATTCATAAATGCCAATTCATAAGGTTCTAATAATTCATCAGTATATTTGATGGTATATAAAAGATAACACTGTTATAGAAGGGAAGACTCTCCAACAAGATAACTGACCCACTGTCAGAAAGGAACGACCCTGACACAAATCAAAGTGCCAACCTCAGAATCTACAAAAATCACTAACCAGGTAGGCAGGTATCACTGGCGAATGTTGACTGCAAATTAGGCATCTATGATGGTATTGATTTTACTTGATGGTGTAACACTTTAAAAGAATTTGATTTTTTAATCGCTTCTATGCCTTTATAAGTGTCTCTCACCTTCCATTCATGTTTGATAAATCACAGAAACACAGACTGAAGGAGTGAGAGGAGCCACCCATCTCACTTAGGACTCACTGAGAAATGCTAGAAATTTGAGACCTCGGACAGGTGTGACTTGTGAAGGATGACAGAGGCCAGTAGGAGGTGGCACTTCTCAAAGCATGGCCCCTGTGCCGCACGCGTGAGAATTGCCTGGGGTGTTTAAAACTAGAAATAACCTCTGGCCCTGGCTTTGGTCCCACTGGGCTGTACAACCCCCTGTCCCATTCTGCCATCATCCCTCACCCCTCATGGTAGTGAGTGAAATGAAAACAATAAACAGGATAGTAAATTGAAAGTATGGATGTGTACATTTTCACTTCCTCCTTACCTTGCTTGCTAATACCCAAATTTACAGCTCTGCCTTCATTTTCTCTCCTCAGTTCCAAACCTAAGTTCCAGACTTAACTGCCTACCCAACATTTCCACTTAGATAAGTAACTGTCATCTTCCAGTCAATATTTCCAAGATTCAGTTCTTGATTATTTGATCGACTTGCTCCCCTCCCCCCACCCCCAGCCTCCCTATTTCACAGAACAGTGACACATCCTTCTGGTTGTTCAGGCCAAAGACATCAAAGACATTCTGGATTCTGTTTTCTCTCAATGACCCTCCAACAAATTTTACTGTTCTACCTGCAAATTGTATCCTATATCCAGCCCTTCTCACCTCCTCATTGCCATCACCCGGCTCAAAACCCACCATCATCACTCACCTGGATCACAGTGTGAGTTCCTCTACCCTCCCCACCAACATCTCTTTATTCCTGCCTGTGCTTCTGGAATTAATAACCTTTTAAAATGTGTATGTCAGGGCTGAGGATGTGGCTTAGTGGCTGAACACTTGCCTAGCATGTGTGAGGCCTTGGGTTCCATTACCAGCTGCACAAAAATAAACGAATGAATGGATGGATGGACAGGATGGTAAACATCATATCATGTCCCTTCTGTGCTCGCAACCCTGCCTGCTGGCTCCCATCTCACTCCAGGTAAGAGCCAAGTCCATGTGACGACCTGTTGTTCCTCTGTAATGCAGCCCAGCTGCCTCCTACTGTTTCCTAGAAACACTAAACATGTCCCTTCTCTGGGTCCCTTTCCCTGAAACACTCTTCCCTCAGGCAGCTGGGGAGGGTTCACAAACTTCAGGTCTCTGCTCAAATTTGGCAAGAGCTTCCCTGACCTCTCATACCCCATCACTTTCAAGCCCACTACCTGGCCTTTTTAACAACTCCATCATGTTTACCCCTGCATGACACATTGCCTGTGTATTTGCACAGATGTTCATTATCTTTCCTCACTGTAATGTAAGCTTCATGAGATAACAGAATTTGGCTATTTTGTTCACTACTGTGCTCCCCAATGAGCCAAGGGCCCATTCAATATGTCCTTGCTAAACAGACGTATGGGCAAAGGAAACAGCCATGGAGGCATGGCAGTACCTGCAACATGTGACTTCTAAGCCTCAGATGTACCACTCCCCACCAGCACACACCATACTGACAAGCTGCACCTTTCACATTCCTAGCTGGCATTTCTGATGTCACCAGCCTTCATGAGGATTCACAGTCACTGTAATGAGGATTCAGTACAGTGAATGGGATAAGTTAATACATAGTTGTCGCTTAGCTGGGAACTCCAGCTATAGATGTTGTAAAAGTCTAAGCGGGGAGCAAGCTAGATTTTAAAGAACTGAAATACTTGCTATTTAATAATAATAATTTAAAAAGTCAGATCTTTATTAGTGGAAGAAACCCCTATGTCAGTCAGCTGTCTGTCAACACATACACAGAGACACAACTTATAAAGAGAAAAGGTTTATTTTGACTCTCAGTTTTGGAGGTTTCAGTCCATGATCAGTTGACCCTATTGCTTCCAGGCCTAGGGCATCATGGTCAGAGCACACAGTGAAGCAAAACCACTCACCCCACGGCCAGGAACCAAAGAGAAAGGGGAAGGCTGGAGTGCATGATCCCCTTGGAAAGCACACCTTCAGTGACCTAATAGTCTCTCAGTAGGTCTCACCTCTTAAAGGTTTCACCAAATTGTAGACCGTTCAAGACCCAAACTACAGCAGTCCCCCAAACCAAAAGCAGAATCCAAAGCAATCAAAAAAGAATGTGTTCTCGTTCATCATCGCAAAAAATGGTAGCAACATCAAGTCCCCAATTTTACTAAGCACCGAAGTACTAGATAATAGTGAACTATAAGGAATTTATAAACTCAGTAAACTTCATGTCTAAAATTATAGTTTTGTTTCTTCCCAAAGACTCTTATCAGCAACAAGGATCTATACATTGCCACGTGTAGTTATATTACTAAATGTGTATCAATTATTTAAATATTAAGTGCATTTTTGCCTAAGCAGTAATGGAATGAATGAAAGCTAATGTGTCTTGTTTAGCAAATTTCCAACATATTAAAGTAGAAAATATTTCAAATTGTAGGACTTTTTTTTCACACATTATGTAAGCAAATTAAAAAAACTATACAAAGGAAAAGATGGAAAGAAATTTATGAAAACCCTGGTTATCTGAGGTAGAAGATAAAGAGTTATTTTCCCCCATTCTTCCTAATTATCATTATTTCCCAATTTTCTATGAGGAAGTATTCGTTTCATACCTGTAATACGAAGTATTTCAGAAATAGTGTGTTTTCTCCAACTTCTTTACCATTATTCAAATTTTAATTTAAAATTTAAAAAGCTTTACATTTCCTTGATTTAGTTGATGAAGCAGGTCACTGTGGCTAAGTTTTAATTGTAGCTAAACTCTGGCTTTAGTTTAGCACAGTTGAAGATGTATATGTTTCTTCAAAATACAAACACAAAATTAAGGAAAACCCATGTTAAATTTGAATTACAAATAACATAAATTCATAACTTTAGAATTCCTTATTAGGAAAATTTCAAACATGTACAGAAGGAGTAGCAGTGTATAATAAATGGCAAGTGGCCAAACTCATTTCATAGCCACCCCACAACCATCAACGAAAGACTTCAGTGTGCAGCTCTAAGAGGTACCCACATTTTTTTTTGGTAGTACTAGGGTTTGAACTCAATGCCTCACACTTGCTAGGCAGATACTCTATCTACCACGTGAGTCACTCTGCCAGCTGTGTGTGTGTGTGTGTGTGTGTGTGTGTGTGTGTGTGTGTTGGTTATTTTCAAGAAAGGGTCTAACAAACTATTTGCCTGAGCTGGCCTCAAACCATGATCCTCTTGATCTCTGCCTCATGAGTAGCTAGAATTATAGGCATGAGCCACTGGCAGCAAGCTACGCTTTTTACCTTTGTAATAATTATAAAATATTATCCCAATGAATGACCCTGCTTTTCTATCATAGATACCTAGTTTTCAGATATCTCTGAAAGTATTATAATTTTGTTTGTTGATATTTCATTTATACTTTGGCAGCACAAAGGGACTCCCACTGGTTAAATGTGGTATAATTTAAACATTAAAGAAAAAATGATTAATTCATTTCAACACTTTGAACATGAAAAATTCAATGGGAATGATAATTTGTCATAACTGTGTGTAATATTACATGCTGGCTCCTTACTTTGAAAACTGGCAAATCAGTAATTTAATAAGAGCTAAGCATTTATCCTACCTTTTTAGGAAAAACTGTACTAGTGTCTTGTTGATGAGGAAAAGCTCTTCTTTAAAGGAAAACAAGAGCTAATAATGGAGAAGAAAAGTAAAAGTAATTAGAAAATTATCATTTTGCTACACCCAATGAAATCACTGATTCAGGCAACACAGCTACAAAAATCACTAGGCAGAAAGCTGGTGCCACATGGTAAGCCACAGACTACTTCCAGATCAAAAAAGGTAAAAACACACTCTGCAGAGGAGACAGCTGTCACTGAAGGTCAGACTTATATCACTAAGGGTGGGACAACCATTCGTGTCCCTCCTGATGTGAAGCTCCACCAAGTATCCAGCATCTCAGCATCTTCCATGAAGCAGCCTTGCCAAAAAGGTGTCGCCTGAACCTGATGCAGTCTCTAGACTTAGCTTCCAGTATCCAGGAGAACCAGGGTCAGACTCAGAGAGAAGCAAATAGGATGACACCACAGGGAAACAGTCTCACAAATCCAGACTGTGGGACAACTAGCTTGGTATCTTAAAGAAAGTCAGTATCAACAGGAATGAAAAGGAAAGGGGAGGCTATTCCTGAACAAAAAATCAAGGAGACATAATTATAAAACGCAATGTGTTGGAAGAGAAAAGCAGCTGAAAAGACATACTGGGCATAAGGAGGAAATGTGAATGTGGACTAGGTATTAGAGAAGTGCTATCAGTTGTCATAGTGTGAAAATGGAATTTCAACAAAATGAATGCTGAAAGTAGAATCATGACACCTATCACTGTGAGACGGTTCTGCAGGAAATATTAAGTTAGACAATGCGATAATGGCAACACTTGCCGAATCTGGTTACATGGTCTTCAAATATTAGTCTTTCAATTTTTTTGTATGCCCATTTTTTTCATAATTAAAGTTTTAAAGAGAAAGAATCAAATGCCTAGAGGGAGGAAAAAGTTGCCAGTTATGTCAATATGACTCTTCCAACCTGTAAGTTCTATAATTGAATAAATTGGTATTCTGGTTTCATGCTCCTTATAAATATATTCCCTTCATTAGTTTCAAGCCTAGATCTAAGTGACCTACAAATGAGGAGTTTATAAACTTAAAATTCTGAATTTTTTATTCTGTATATTGCCTTTTATTTCTCTATGCAGTTTTCATTAAATCACAGTCTAAAACTGTCTCACCATTATAAATGGTGATTGCAATTTGAAGTAGAATGTATACATTACCTGTTAAAGGTCAACATGTCTGTATTACAGCAGAGTTTCTCAGAAACCTGCCAGCATCATATGGATGCTTTCAACACATAAATGTTTCTTCTTGCCCCTCCCATAAAGAAGTACTGCATTAGGACAGAAAAGAGGGTGGGTGGGTGGAAGAAAGAGGGAGAACGAGAAAGAGAGAGATGAAATTTTAGAGAATGAGTAATAAAACATTATAACATGGGCTCAAGGATAGTCTAAACTAGGGCGTCTGAGATTACACTTCACTTTTCAAGATTGATATAAAATAGAGGTTCTCTCATGAATCGTCTTTGCTTCCTCTATCAGATCAATATGAGGCTGAACAGACCAGTAGTATAAGTCAAAAGAAAGATGTTTATGTTCTCAAGATGATAGTGTGGCATGTGCTCCCACTTACTCCCAAGACTATACTGTCTGAGCCAGCCATAATATTCTAAAAGCCAAAGATCTTAAAGTCAATGACTGACAGTTACCTACAACTTACTTCATTTTGTAGTGTAGGGTATCCATTTCTGATATGATGATTACCCGGACCTTACTGAAGTCATGCATGGAGTAAGTCTGCTTTAAATTCAGCAGCTGACCCGGCACTGAAGAAACACATGATTTCTTTTTATTTCTTCTTTATTTACTTGAGAGGAAATCACTGAAACACCCCAGGAAGAGGAATAAGGATGCCTATTAGGCATCTCACTAATCTCCTATAATGATGTCTGAATAAAACGTCAATTGCTTTATTGCAAATGACACAGTTATTTTAATATTTGTCCACACATTCAATAAGAAATTGAAGTGATTTAAATATAAGGCCATAAAGTAGGAAACAAATATGCATCTCTCTCTCTATGGTCTGTGTATTTCAGGGGAGATTTGAGTGTGTTGTTTACATTTTCATATTAATGTCTAGTTGTCTAAAAAGAACAGTATTCATCAGAGGATGATTTCCCTCAACATTACATCATGAAAATGTTTAAACATACAGAAAAGCTGAGGGACTTCACAATGAACAATCAGTACTTATCACCTAGAATCCACAATTAACACGAAGCGATCCAAGTATTTATTCCTCTTTCTATTCATTTTGTTTATGTGTTGATATATTTCAAGAGAAGTTGAAGATATCAGCACATTTCATCCTCAAACACTACCACGCATATGAATAATGCAAGTTAAATGTTTGTTTTTAATTCTCTTTTCTTTTCAGGCAAAGTTACATACAATCAGATGTACAAATCTTAAGTACTTCATCTAAAATTAGTTTTGACAAGTACCTTTGTAACCCAGCTCCTATCAACATCCCCATCATCATCCCAGAAAATTCTCTCAGGCCTCTCCCAAGTCAACCTCCATATACACCCTAAGGCAACCATTGTTCTTATTTTTCATGTCTATTCTAAGACTTCATATAAATGGAATTAAATAGTAGGCAGTCTTTGTTGTAAGGCATTTCAGCATGCTTTTAAGAGTCATCCCTGCTGCTGTACCATTAGTTTGTTTTGTTTCATTTCTGAAGTATCCCAGTTAAGAACATACTAGTTTCAAAATCTAGTTTCCTGGGTTGGTGGAATGGCTCAAGTGGTAGAGTGCCTGCCTGGTAATCGTGAGGCCCTGAGTTCAAACTCCAATAGCACTATGAAAAAAAAAAATCTAGTTTCCTATTTATAAATACCTAGTTTGCTTGTTTTGGGGGCTCTTATGAATAAAGCTGTCAGGAACATTTTTTAAACCTAAAAAAAAACTGACTAAATGATTATTGCTCTACAGGACACTTGCATTGTCCTTATGACATATTATTTTATATTTTCATGAGGTACTAATAATGTAACTTCTGGAACATGACTTAAATATGTGGTTTAGTAGATACGAGGAGTGAATGGGTGCAGAATACCATCCTGTAAGAAGTTAAGCCACTCACCTGCATTTTGAAGCTATGCAGACTGAAGAAATGAAAATGATCTGTGTTATTTGCTCACTTACTGTTCTTTCCCAGTACGGTTGGTATTCACAAGCTCATACTGATATCTATTCATTCCAGGGAGGATGGGTCAAAGCTACAGAGATTCTAGCTGGCCTACATAATTGTGAAATTAATTTTGGCAACTTCTATGACTCTAAGAATTCTTTCTCCCCCACCTCTCAGAGGCGTTTCAAAAACTACACCCTCTGCCTGGGTTGTGAAGCCTTAATTCCAAAGGATTGCACTGTGGTTACAAAGCCTTCGTGGCTCCCTTGGCTCTGGTTTTGCTCCTGAGAGCACAAAGCACTCTCCATAATGAGGCTGAACTGTTGGAGAGCCAGAACTCTACCTTAGAACCTTGGGAAAAGCCCACATATATTTTTGGTAAATTTTAAGCACATTTCTTTGGCTATAAAGTTGAAATAGTAACCATCCAGCAATGTTTTAGAAGCTTGTTTATAAATGTTTATAAAGGCTTGTAAAGCCAGAGCTAAAGACCTGACACTAAAAGCTGGACTTATTTCTGTATGTTAATCTTCTGAATGGTCATGAACTCCAGGTCCCTATCTCAGGGACCTGCATGACTGTTACCAATGGCAAACGTCCCCATCACGTATGTTTGCTTGCTCGCTCTCTCTCGCTGTCTCTCTCTGTCTCTCTGTCTCTCTCTCTCTGTCTCTCTCTCTCTCGCTTGCATAGACAATCCAATACGAAGTCTCATTTACTTCGAAATCCCACTCGAACCCACCCAATCTCTCTCCATGTCCTTTGCCACCAGTCTGGTTTAAGGTCGTCTATCTCTAGTCGGGCGGGGCCATCAGTGTTCCTCGCTGCACTGGGTCACCACCCCCAGCCCCTGCCTGAGTCCCCGAGAGTAAAGACCGGGGTCTTCACCAGGCCAAAAGTCTCCTCCCTCACCCGCCCCGGGCTTTCTGCCTAGAGCACACTCCGCTCTTCAAATAACTTTCCCCAGTTCGGCTGGGAAACCCAGATTACCTCCCAAACAAGCCAGATCTCCCGCCACCTTCCTCCACTGGGTTTTTGAGTTTAAGATTAAATGCTTCCATAAATTCGTTTTAGCCTTGCCTTACGGCACTCCCAATGACAATTTTGTGATTATCTTATTGCTGCTGTCCCCTGGCTGGACCGTCAGCCGTGAAGCAGGGAACGATAGTGTAATACACTCATTAACATTGCACGTGAAAAGTAGTTGACTCTCAATATTCCTGCGGCCACCCTCTGCATTTCTGTGTAATGGCGCCTTTCCTAACACGAACTAGGAATTGCGGCTTCTCAGTAAGAAAACTGATTTTTTGGCTAACATGCATGAGGCTCTGGGTTCGAGCCCCAGTACCGCAAAAAAAAAAGAAAACTGATTTTATTTCTTTCAGTAGTCTTATGTCATGGAACCTACTAAATGATAAGTGGAACTAAAAAGAAAAAGAAATCCCAGTTACCCCACGACGGGTGTCACAGAGGATTCGCGGTGACTGACAGCTGGCAGCAAAGGGACCGGCCGGCCTTTCTGCGCAGGCGCAGGCGCCCTCCGCGCAGCTAGATCGCGGCCGCGAGCGCTTCCGGGTGGGGCTGGACGATCGCGAGCCGCAGCGGAGGCCACGCCCGCCCCGGGAGAGGAACGGGGCGTGCAGCGTGCGGTCGAGAAAAGGGGCCGAAATGCGAAGCGGGGCGGAACGGGGAGGGCACCGTAGGCCACCGTCTCATTCGCGTTCGGCGTCTCTGGGATCTTGGGCACCAGCCAGGACCCGAAAATGCCTTCGAGCCCGGCTGAAGCCCCGGGCCGCAGCAGGGTCTGGGAGAACTCCCCACCCTCTGCTTGGCGGGTCGGGGTGGCTCTGACCTTCCGGGGTCGCGGCCGAGCGCAGCGCCGCTTCCTCCGCACGTCCCCTGAGGCCGCCTCACCCGCCGCAGGCCCCTCGCAGCCCGAGCCCCTCACTTTTTAACATTACCTGGACCTGAGTCGGCGATTGGTAATGTCTGGATGGAGCCCGTGAACGAGCTCGGCCTTGAGGCCCTTTCGCCTTCCGTAGTGGGCGTGGCTTCCCGGGTCCTTTAAAGGAAAGGTGACGTGGGGAACTGCGCCTCTGCCCTAGTGGGATAAATTCCTCCGACCAAAACTGCAGTAAACGTGGGGAAGGAACTGCAGGGAAGTTGCTGCTTACCTGACTTCTGCTGCCCAGAGGTGAGATGTCTAGTTTTGCAGAAATCAGAGCATAATTCCACTAGTTACCTTAACCCTAATGTTTTTTAAATAAAATTTTATTTAATATTTACTACTGTGTTTCATAACGGTCTCATGAGTGACGGAGCACGTTCCTCCCCCTCCCTCCATTTACAGGTGAGGAAACAGACTCGGAAAGTAGAGGCTTCTCTTGGGTTCCAGGTAGCAAGGGGCAAGCTCGATTCCCCCAACACATACCGAGTTCTGGGTTCCTGACCGCGGTTCCTGAGACGCCAAAGGAGACGGATCCGGGCGTCAGATTCAGTGCTGTTAGAATTGGGAGAAGTTCTAATGCGTCACTAGCGCAGGGTGATTTGCTGAGTTGCCAGAGTCACAGAAGAGCCAGTCCTAAACCCCGGGAGCAGTCCACGCCCCTGGTTTCTCCCCTGCTCCCTTTTGGGGCCCTGCCTTGTGGCACTGAGCTCCTGACTGGGATACCTGTGTTCCCGCCCTTCCGTAGGTCGGCAGGACAGTCCTCAGTGGCAGCCTGAAAATCTGCAGTCGGGACTCTAATGAAGCCACCTAATGTGGGAACCGTTAAGGCCCTACTCTGAAGGGAAATGCTTATTGCCTACGCGTAGTCCACTGGAACATGCCGCCTTGTTTAATTCTCATCAAAAAACTCCTTAAATTAGGGCAATCTGCAGTATTACTCATGTCAAGGTAATACTGTTGGTGCAGATGAGGAAATAGCTATTTGAGAACAAAGACCAACTTTTTTCTTTTATGTATGTATGAGCATTTTATATTTGTTTCCGGGGTACATTGTGACATTTACAAAAGTGATTACATTATATCTAAGTTAGATTCACCCCTCCATCTTCTCCTTTATCCCTCTTTCTTAGAACAGTTTCAACAGGTCTCACTGTTCTATTTTTGTAAGTAGAAGTACCTCCATCACGTTTTCCGTTCCTCACCCTTTCCTTATACCTGCCGGTACCAACCTTCCCACAGACTGGTTTTGCTTTCCTGTCCTTCACTTTTTTTTTTTTTAAAACCAGACATTTTTTTTGTTTATGATGGTTATACAGGGAGTTTCATTGTGACATTTCCATACACACACACACACACAGGTTGTATACCCAAATGGAGGTTCATCACCTCCATTTTTCTCCTTTCTGCCTTAGTCCTGGTCTTACCGTGATTTCAACAGATTTGAATGTTCCATATTCATAAATTGTATAGAAAGTGTTAACCATAATCACCTTCTTTCTTCATTTTCCTTCCCCTTCCCATTAATGCCCTCTCTTTAGCACGAACTCATCTCTTTTCCTCATCAAATCACAGCGCCTGGCACATTAGACACTCATAATTTGTGATGTGGTAAACCTTAAAGCAATTCTTGTATGTGACCCAAAGGCCAGGATTTGCTAATGCTTCTGCATGTCAACCAGTTAAATGAAGAATTAGAGATTCATTTTAATTCTTTAGTACTAAGATGTAAGAGTAGATGTAAGGATGAGTCAGTAGTACAGTGCCTTGGCAAATGGTAGATGCTCAACACTTACAAGTGCCTGTGTTTATATGTGTGACTGCACTTATTACTACTCATTTCGAGGTGAGGGAATTGAAGGATGAGGAATTTGATTTACCCAAGGTCATACAATCAATAGCAGAACCAAGAATTTTTTCAAAAAAGAAAAAGAGGTTGAAGATGTAGCTCAGTGGTAGAGCACTTGCTTAACATGTATGAGACCCTGACCTCACCTCCCAGCCCTGCTGTTGGTGGGGGAGGAGGAGAAGAAAAAGGAACCCAGGCAGTCTGGTGCCAGAGTTGGTGCTCTTCACCCTAAATATCCCTTATGCTGATATACTAAAGTAGTGACTGAGCAAAGGAGTTACTCCTCCCTGAAAAATAGGAAGTCAAATCTGTGGAAGGAATGGAAGCATTTAATGGCTAGACTAAGGGTTTACAATTTGGTATAATTATGAATTGGAGATGTTCAAACCAAATTGTCCCTGGTAGCTGAAGCTCCTTGGAGGTCCCATGTGTCCAGAGATGATTTGGGCAGCTTTGCTGTTGCCACTGTCAGGTGTCCCATCCCCCTCAGAGTGGTGGGGTAGTGCCCCTGAGAGGAGACCAGTGGAAAAGGGAGGAACATTACAGACATACCCTCAGATAGAGAGAACCTAACCTTTTCATCTCTTGAACTCTGCGTTAGCTTCCAGGTGGAAAGAGTCATTGAGAGCCTTGAGCTCAGGGTGGTGGTTTCAGACTGTGAAGGTCCTTGAATGAAGACAGTGTGGACAGCAGGCCACTGGCTCCTCCAGGCCCTCTTCCTGCACTACGGTCCTTCCTTAGGTACCTTTCTAGTGTCACACATCTGTAAACTGATCCGTTGTGTATGTAGAACAGGACTCTCAGACGTGTATAGAGCTTTCCCAGCTGTCACTGTTTCTACCGATGATTTAAAAAAATGCATAGCTCAGTAATATTCTAATCCTGGCTGCTGGGGGTGTGGTTCAAACAGTAGAGTGCCTGTCTTGCAAGCTCAAGGCCCTGTGTTCAAACACAAGTGACCCCAAGTCCTGGTGACTCTAAAACTTCTGTGTTGTTCATCAGAGTAATGTCCATGTCACTTTCTATAGCAGGTCTATGAACTTTCTCAGTGGATGTATTGGGGGTTTTTTCTGATGAAGGATTGATGGAAATACTGTCTCTTTGTTAGCTTTCAGAATTCCATCTCTTCCCCACTGACACACAGGGAACCTTCCAAAACAGGGAGGCATGTTCAACTCCGTTGCTTAGCTCTGGTCCTTGAGGTACAGTATATCCTTCCCACAGAGGAATTAGTCTACGGGCCATTTCTTTAAAGTTCGTAACACCTGGCTGTGTCTTCATGTTGCCACAATGACTGTAACGGTTAATTTTAAGAGCAAATCTTACACTAGTAAAACTTCTGGATTGATTGTGAAGTTATGAAGACGCTGCAAAGCCTGTGTGGGTTCGCATATTCAGCATATTCTTTTTTCTTTTTGGACAGTGCTGGGGTTTGAACTCAGGGCCTTGCACTTGCAAGGCAGGTGCTCTACCACTGGAGCCACACCCCAGCCCTTTTTGCTTTAGATTGTACCTGCCTTTTTCCTTGGTAGTGCTAGATTTTAATTCAGCTTAGCTCTTGCAAAGCAGGTGCTCTTGCAGCAGACACTCTACTTCTTGAACCATACCTCCAGTCCATTTTGCTGTGGTTATTTTGAAGATGGGGGTTCATGAGCTGTTTGCCAGGGCTGGCCTCCAACTGCTATCCTCCTGATCTCAGCCTCCCAAGTATCTAGGATTACAGGCGTGAGCCACCAGTGCCCAGAAAGAGGAAAGGCTTCCTTGATCAGGAATCAAACCCAGGTCACAGTGGTGAGAGGGATGAATCCTAACCACTAGACCACCAGGAAGCTTCTCCCCGCCAACTACTTTTTGCCCAGGGCCATCCTCAGACCTTGATCCTTCCACATATGCTTCCTGCATAGCTAGGATTATAGTTGTGAGCCACCACACCCAGCTTGTTTGTTGATATGGGGGGTCTCACTAACTTTTTGCCTAGGTTGGTCTCAAACCAAAATCCTCCCAAGTGACTGGGATTACAGATGTGAGCCACTGAGCACAGCCCAGCTCAGCATATTCTTCAAGAACTTTATGAATTACAGTTAATTTATCTACTACCCTCCCATAAGATGATAAGCTTTTATCAGGGAAGTTTTGCTAAAATGAGGGAATTGAAGTCTGTTATGTGTGCCATCCTCTGCAGCGTCAGCTCCATCTAGCTGAGATCAGTTATCTTGGATGGCAGCAGCTCCAGCTGAGGGGATCCATGCTCTGCTTAGTTTTTCTTTATCAACTTGTCAAAAGGACACAGAAAGCAAGACGCACAAGGGACTTTGGCTGAGTATTAGGAAACTCATATAAATTCCCTGAGGATATTTCAGCCCTATAGCATGTGTCTATTACCATAAACTATTAAATTTGGAGGTCTTTGTATGGAATCTCTACCATTTATCCTCAGGCAGACTATGGCTAATCCTCTCCAAACAGGTAAGTATCCATACAGTTTCAAAACAGAACAGAAACTCCAGGTGAGGACACTTAGCTCCTCGGCTCACATCTTGGGAATCTTTCCCTTTGCATAACCTAAGTTCACCACATTGCTACTGAATGAAGCAGAAAATAGGTTGAAAAGTCTCCCTTGGAAAAACAACAGAGCCATGTTGAAGGTGTTGAAGGGAGTATTTCCCTTAACTTGGGTCTCCTTGAGACATTTAATGAAAGTAATTCTTACTGCAATTATAGGACATCACGCAGAACAATGACAAACTAACGCGTGAAACCTTTTAAGATGTTCAGTGTTCAGCGTTTACTACTATGAAAATCAAAGCAAAACAGGACCAAGTTATTAGTTCACATTTTACAGTGAGTATACAATCAGTGCTATTTTTAAATGCCCACATGGATATCTTCCAGTGCCTAGCTACCTAAGGACAGCAAATAGAATGTCAGCAATGGGGCAAATTTGTACTCCTCGCTGCTTGCCACCTTTGAGGCAAACGGAACTCAAGGCCAATTATTCCATTTTGGAAAGTTCCTCCCATGTGCTGATGTGGGGTTTCCCTGTCCACTGTGGAGGGGAGACTTTCCAATGTCCATTGGAGACATTGTTTGGCCGCTTTCCGCCTGAAAGTTGCTAGGTTCCTCTGCAAAGATTTTAAAGGCTGCTTTGTTGGCAGCGTAGGACTCATCCGTGACCTTGCCAAAGTGGAAATGAAAGCTCACAGTTTTTCTTCCTCTTTTCTTCTTTTTTGCAACAGTAAATCTACTAATTTTACAGTCAGTTGAACAGCAATAGATTAATTTGTGTAAAGTCTGCATTCACAAAGGAAAACTGAACTTCATTGGCTTGAATGCCTGAAACTGCAGC